CAGGTACTGTTGACTATATATTCGAAGTGTGGAGTCAAGCTGTGAAGACCTGTTAACAGTGTTGTGAAGAGACTGGCAGGACAGCCAGTGGTAATTTGACAACTCTAGTGAGATACCTACTGCTCTGTACATACGACCATAGCCACTGGTAACCAGTGGTGGAAGCTGGGTAAGCGGAGAAAGAAAGGATCTTAACAATATTATGGGGTGGGGATAATTCTTCAGGTGGAAGCTCTGGGTGACTATTCTTCAGGTGATCCGAAGAATTTATACATTTATGAGGGCATTTATATATATTTTCATCAACTGTAATGTCACACATGCATGCAAACACATGGACGTTTAATAATGCACATGTAGGCCTAGGACTATACACTGAGATGGACAATTATTTAGAGAAGAAAATGTTGTTGATATATTAACTAAAATACATTGCGAATTTATTATGCCTACTGTGGGGGTACGTGATATTTGGTTCGCACTCAGGATGGGATGGAGAAAGGAAACTCACAATGTGCTCTCTGTATACATGTACTATACTGCCAGACTGGGGGTCACTAATGCTAAGGGGGAATACTTAACTAATCTTAATTTCTAAGGGTCGCTGCCACCAGACTCCCTCTGGACAGCATGTAGCTCGTTAGGTAGCGTGCAGAGTGGACTAGGCATTGGGTTAGGTTTTCCATTGACCAGATCGATAAGGGGAAAGAAGGGTGAAACCATAACATGTCTTAATTAATTTATTCCTTATAAAGCATACTGGTAAAAAACATACAAATGAATTGGTCTTCCTCAGAAGAACAACGAAAATGTTGGTTACCCAGATGGGCACCAGACGTCTTACATTAATGGCGTGTCATCCAAATACTTATTGCATAACAATCTGTGACCACCTTACCTCGGTCATTCCTTCTTACACTAGCCCTTAACACATCAGACTGCTCCACCTGTATGGAATATAGCACCATCGGTTATCGTACATAGTAGCACCATCTCTACACACGTTCCACTCCACCCCTGCAGGTATGGGACTCCTTGTAACTTTTAGGTATACACAACGGGCCCCTCGTTCGCACACCGCCCTCGGTGGGTAAAGACGAGGGCTTCACCCAGAGACATACCAGTACTATTTCTACGCCTGGTATTATAGGTCGCTCCAAGTGACGACCGCAGAGCTTTTCACGGTCTCCTTATTTGTTACTACTCATTTGGAGTGGTGTGCTGGAAATCCACAGGTTCACAGTGGATTGGCATAGCTGGGAGTAGTCACCACCTGGTGGGACGCTCATAGGGATAATGGCGGCCGCGCAGCAAGGCACTCCGACCGTATGGAACCTGAGGTGACGGTAGAACGAAAGGGACTGAGAAATAATGCCTGACGGGCGGTTATCACACCCCCTAACACATTACTATTACACTTATACATCAGGCAAAGCTTTAAACTGTAATAACTTCTATATAAGCCTTAATTATAGGGCGGGATACAGCCCGATAGGACGCTGACCTGAGGTAGGCCTACAGTTTCCAATCTTTAATTTTTACTTTTATTTCTTACGGTTCTCACCTGAACACTTTTCGGCATATTGTCACTCAGGCCTTATAAATACATATCTTAATCCTAAATTACACACTAAGGTAAGGGTCTGGTTTGCTAGTTCCTGGGTAAATTCATTGGGTTATAATATCAACGCGGCACACCCGAGGCGGCCTAGGCGCCAACCCAAACAAAGCCTAGCATCGTATTTTCATGGCGTGGGTATACAAGATATTCTTTTTGAAGCATAGTTTCTAGATCACTTCCAACACTTCACATAGTTCTGATACCTTTATCCTTTTTCCAGATCATTGTTCTCGTGTATTTTCATATGATATCTGTGGAAGTTTTGTTCGCTACACGTTCACAGACGTAAATAGTATGACCTTCAAACCATGATCCACACTTAGTCCTACAGTACACTACCCAGGTTCAACTGGACTTTCCCAATCATCTTATGGATACCCTGAATTCTCCTTAATGCTATGAATACATACAATTAACATTATATAACTGTACCTGGGTACAATACAACACATGGTCTAGTAACATTGAGTAGGTGAGTTATCCTTTAACAATGTTTCCCGTTTTCTGAGATTCTACAAGCGCGGTGGATTTGAATGTTATATAGCGTAATATGATTTAAATGGGGTTTTTAGGAATGACAATGATGTGCGCAGTACAGTACAATGCAGCTTGGTGGCTGATGCTGGGAGGAGGCAGCGTGGTTACAAGCGTGAGTAGGGAGAGCTGATTAGTGAGGGTGCTCAGAGGAGGTGTTGCTTGCTGTGGGCTGTAGCTAGAAGAAGTAGGTCACCACGAGGTGAGGTTTTATATAGCGGAGGTAGGCGTGGCTTAATAGTTGACCTCAGTCATATAAGGCGGCACTGGTTGCTGACCTAGACCACGAGGCATACACTGGGGAATTCGAGGGTCGGCTAGTCAGCGACAAACATCGTTTGTAGGGGAGGAATCCACTACAATGCTCCCCCTTCCCTCCAGGAGGTGTAGGAGACTTGTTGTCTGCAGGGTTGCATCCCACATGTGATGCAGAACGGGCGGTGCAGGAGACTTGTTGTTGGCTGGGTTGTATGCCACATGCGAGACATAACGGCGAGGGCGTGGATGAGCCGGCCGCTACGGGAGACGACTGTCTAGATACATGAGATCTGTGGGAGCAGAGAGGGAGAAGGAGGGTTGTGGAGGCGATGAATGGTGTGCTTCCCTCGCGGCAGGTACAGAGTCCTCAGATGCGCCTGCTGGGGTGTGTGGGTCTGGGTCAGGAGCAGGGGCTGCGTCAGGAAGAGGGTCTATGACAGCAGCAGGGTGCAGGGCAGTAGCAGGGTGCAGGGCAGTAGCAGGAAGTACCTGAGGGAAAAAAAAAGGTGTGTGGGGGGCGATGAATGTTGTGCTTCCCTCGCGGCAGGTACAGAGTCCTCAGATGCGCCTGCTGGGGTGTGTGGGTCTGGGTCAGGAGCAAGGGCTGCATCAGGAAGAGGGTCTATGACAGCAGCAGGGTGCATGACAGCAGCAGGGTCCACGACAGCAGCAGGGTGCAGGACAGTAGCAGGGAGTACCTGAGGGAAAAAAAAGGGTGTGTGGGGCCGCCTCAGGTGCATGAGCCGCGTCAGGAGCAGGGGCTGCCAGGCAGGAGTGGAGGAGGGTCCACGTCAGGAGCAGGGTCCAGGACAGTGGCAGGGGGTGCTGCTGGGCCGGGGACGGCGTCTGAGGCAGGACGGGTGTGTTGGGGTCGGTAGGACGTGGTGCTTGGGGCAGGAAGAGGAGCGGCTGTCTGCTTAGAGTAGCAGAGCTGCTCTAGGGTGTCTAACCTGCGGTGTAGAGACAGTAGCTGTAGAGCCGATGAGAGCTGCCTCTGTGTGGATAAGCCAGTCTTCCATGTTGCTTGAAGACTGGGAGAGTGATCGGCTTCTCCTCCATCCTGTGTGAGTACGAATATCCGGGGATCACCATTTGTGGGGTACGTGATATTTGGTTTGCACTCAGGATGGGATGGAGAAAGGAAACTTACAATGTGCTCTCTGTATACATATTATATTGGATGTACAATGCAGCTTGGTGGCTGGTACTGGGAGGAGGCAGCGTGGTTACAAGCGTGAGTAGGGAGAGCTGGTTGGTGAGGGTGCTCAGAGGAGGTGTTGCTTGCTGCGGCTGTAGCTAGAAGAAGTAGGTCACCACGAGGTGAGGTCTTATATAGCGGAGGTAGGCGTGGCTTAATAGTTGACCTCAGTCATGTAAGGCGGCGCTGGTTGCTGACCTAGACCACGAGGCATACACTGGGAAATTCGAGGGTCGGCTAGTCAGCGACAAAAGGCGTTTGTAGGGGAGGAATCCACTACACTACCTTTAATGAAATGGAACATACTTTGGAATGTTTGGAAGGCAACTACCCATTTCTGTTTACCCTAGATCCACAAATCTCTCCTCTTTCTAGACAATTCCTGTTTTATCTCCTTGATTAATAATGACAGCAGGAATATAACTTTCATTTTATACACTTGCGTCGCATATGAATAATAATATTGTCATTTAAATTTTAAAACCTAGACAGTTCTTAGTTTGCATTGCCGTCACAACTTTCATATCCTTTGCGCAGTCCGCCGTCTTGTAGGTATAGACGCTACACGGTAAAATGATCGCCATCATAAACAAACACACCTACTTTGTAAACGTAAGTTATAGATAATGGTGAAATGTTACTGTCGGATGCCACAATACACCTAAGAAGAAAGACAAGCCCCGACCATTTCACACTCTCAGAATGATGAGATATATCTATTGCATGTGTTAAAAATGCCGGATTAACTGATTGAACAAAACTAAAATACATGTTTATCAGCTGTATTCCATAACATCGGAAAATAAGTTTTATCTTTAGATAAATATTCAAATACTAAACGTCTTAGGTAATTTTTCGCTCCTTTCTGCATATTTCTTATTAGTTTCCATTATACATATTTACCGTATACCTTTTTTTCTTTCTTATTTATATTCAAGTATAAATTTCAAACGTGTACATGTAAATACATTTCTTTACATTATATTGACACTTTTGCATCTGCCAGTCACAATAAATTGAATTTTGCAAGCGTCCACTATCAGACGACAAACCTTGGTAGAGTCTCTATCGAGATTCCAACAAAACTTCAATCACACGTCAAGGGGTCTCTTTCCTATTTCCAGTATATTGTCTTGGAAATGTCTTTGGTCTTGGACAGTATACGAGTTGTCAGCTATCTGGGTTAATATTTTGTTTCAAATTATAAGGGTGTTTGAAATGTTGATTCACTATATATGTGTGTGTACATGTATTTGTCCATCTATCTGTTGCCGTTATGCTGAAATACAAACATTTTCAGACAACAAGTCCACCTGCGCAATTTGGTCTTCTCTTGTCAACGGCGGCCGTGTTGTGAGGGCAGCAGCCAATTTACCTTCAGTCCATCATCACCAGTGACTAGTTTAACGTCTGTACTGGGCGGTGAGCTCCGATCCCCGATCTGACCAGCGACAAGCAGAGCAGCACCTCCTCCTTATTTCTTATTAATATTTTAGCAAGTATGAAATAATTTATATTTGTTTTGTGCTGAACTGTTGTGTTAGTGTGTTAATGATCCAGAGTAGCATTAGCTTGTTGAGGCGACGGGCAGACGATTGTTGGCGCCGGCTTATACTGCATCGTGGGGCGAGACCATGCCCGTTCTATATAGGGGAGCCCGTGGTCTTAGGTCCTGTCCTGGAGTGACTGAGCAGATAAGGGTATTTTTTTTTAATTGCCCGACCACTTTTCTCTTTTTTGACATTTTCGTCGGAAACAACGGTTAGGTTAGGGTCTGATGGCAAAACCTGGGGGTCCGGGGGGGGGGGGGGGCTGGGGATCGCGCCCCCAAGGTTATGTTTTGAAATTAGTTAATCGAAATTTGACCTTTAGTTCCGGGGCAAGTAGCCGTTTTAGTTATCCCCCCCCCCAAAAAAAAAGTTTGGGAAACTTAAAAATTCGTTTGACGTTATTATTCTCTGCCACCTGGTTGAATTGGTGTTAGAAATACTCCAAATGAGGAGATATAAACGTTGGTGATGGTTAAAACAGTTGGCCGTGTATTGGCCGAAACTGCAATAATACCGATGAGGGATTGTGAAGGTCAGATTATTTGATCAACTGAGAAAGACGATGGTATAGTTGGATGTGATTGGGAGAGATTAAGAAGAAAAGTGGCGACTTGAGTTTTAGTGAGGTGAATGTTGTTGGGCTTGTGGAGTATAATGCCTCATCTAAGGGGTTGATTAAACGACCTGAAAAGAACATAATGACGTCATACAGAAGTCGTTGAGAATTGTTGTAGTTAGTGGTAGTGGCGTGGGTAGGCTGGTGGGGTATGATGCAATCTCATCGACGTTGCTTTAACTGACGAGGAACAACTTCTAATATCGGGGAGGTGGGTGTTGTGTGGTGGGTCTGTTACTATGGAGGGGTTTCTGTATCTGTGGATGTAAATTATCAGTGTTCCTCCCAGACCTAACATTTTATTAATCGATAAAATATCTTTAGTTCCTGTTTACTAAATTTTTAAGTTTAACAAATTTATTGACAAAGCTTGGAGTACAGTTTGCCTATTGAATATTTCAGTCAGGTCTTGACACTGAGGGTGGTATCACTTCTCACTGCCACGCAGGACAGGTTCATACACAAAGACATGTGGGTGATGTAACTGTTCACTGCCATGCAGGACAGAGGTTCATACACAAAGACATGTGGGTGATGTAACTGTTCACTGCCATGCAGGACAGAGGTTCGTACACAAAGAAATGCATCATATTCATTAGCAGTATATATAGGTCAGAGTCATGTGGGTGATGTCACTGTTCACTGCCATGCAAGACAGTGGTTCATATACATTGGACGTCATATTCTAATTGAAGACTAATTAGTGTGGGCTAGCAAATTTGGGATAAACCGCAAGAATGTCCCCAAGCACACCCGATTCAATATAGGGATTACAAAGTTCATGATACAATAAGCCAGGTGGCCTGAAGTCTTTGACAGTGTCACATTCAATAATAGTGTTCAAGTGTATGCTTTAAAGGTTTGACAAAGTTTACATGCTCGTTTCACCTTCATATAATGGCCCGATAGCTTAATTCATTGTCAACATGCACACCTAGGTCCTTTTCGCATTCGGTCTCTATTAATGCAGTTTCTTCCTGTTGGGACATGATACACATCCTTTCCGTTGGTACGTTCCAGGTGCATCCTCTTACACTTCGTGAATTTGAATCTTAGAAGTCATTTCTTCTACCACTCTTGAGGCTCAGATCTTTTTGCAGCTCTCGCAGTCTGTTTGGTTCCTAATTTCCCTAAATAACTTGGCATCGTCCGGAAACATTTGTATGGAGGAGTGTATAGCTTCCGGTATGTCATTTATGAAACAAACAACTGGCCCAGTTACTGCTCTGTGGTACCCAGCTTGTCACGGGTACACATGACGATTTCGTACCATTAATCATCACACACTTTCTTGCGATTATGCAAAAAGCCTGCGATCCACGTTAGAACACTTACCTACATCCCGTACACTCAAAGTTTTAATTCTCGGCATTTCGTGGGGTACGCTGCTGAAAGCTTAGGCAAAATTTAGGTATATATATTGTCGACATTGCCTCCGTTACAGAATTTGGGTCCAAGCAAAGTACCTTGAGTATTTGTGTTAAGCTGGAGCGTCCCAGCATAAATGAGTTGGCAATCCTTACTTTTTACTTTACGTTTATGCTCATCACCACTGATCGGCTCGTTAGCCGCTTTGGCGATCGGTTACGTCTGTTACGCACTGTTGGCAAGTACTGGGCATGCACCAGCTCCTGAATGTATCTGAACTTGCTCCAGTGTTGATCAAGTCTGGTCTTGAAAGAGCTCACACTCGGTGTCGTCACCATACTCTTTGGTAGATTGTCCCAAGAGTTCACAACTCCCACTCCGAAAAAGTTACCCCTCACAGTTATCCGGACTTGCGGCTGCTTGAACCTTGAGCTGTGTCCCCTTGTAGGGCGAGCGTCCGCCAGCTCCAGGTAAGGACACTCGACTGAGTAGTGCCCTCTGAGACGCTTGTACACCTCAATCAGATCTCCCCTTGCCCGTCTGTAGTACAAGCTAGGCAAGTTCAGGCGCTCCAATTTCTCCGGGTAATTGAGGTGTCGCAGTCAAGGCACCAATCTGGTGGCCCTCCTTTGCACATTTTCATTCAGCGGGGTCCCTAGCATACCTTGGGGTCCAGGCGGGCTGATAGTACTCCAGGTGGGGAAGCACTTCACTCTTGAAGATCGTTACGAGGGACGGACCATCTAGATATCTGAACAAACTTCTTAGAAGACCTAATAACTTAGATGCCTGGTTTACATTTTCGCAATGACCCGAGAACTTAAGTTCATTGTCAACGTAAACACCTAGGTCCTTTTCATATGCCGTCTCAATTAATGCATTCTCTTCGTCCCGTTGGGACATACGAGATGCCTCCTTACCGTTGGTACGTCCCAGGTGCATCCTCTTACACTTCGTGACATTGAATCTCAGCAGCCGTTTCTTTGACTATTCTTGAAGCTCAGATCTTTCTGCAGCTCTTCACAGTCCGCTTGGTTCTTAATTTCCCGAAATGACTTGGCGTCGTCTGCAAACATTTGTATGGAGGAATGTACAACTTCAGGCATGTCATTCATGAAGCAAATGAACAGTAGAGGGCCCAATACACTGCCCTGTGGTACCCCGCTTGTTACGGACACAGAATCATTTTGTGCCATTAACCACCATACAATGATTGCGGTCATGTAGAAATTCCTCTACCCACGCCAGGACATTTCCCCGAATCCCGTACTCTTCCAGTTTAATTTCAGCCTTTCATGGGGTACATTGTCAAAAGCCTTTGTAAAATCTAGGTAAATATTATTACCACCCTTACCTAGAATTTGGGTCCAAATATCCGGTACCTCGAGTAATTGTTTAGCAATTGTTGGCAATCAATTACGAGGTTGTTTCGTTGTAGATGTTCAATCATGGCATCTTGTAATGCTCTCAAGTACTGCTGCAATGCTGTTCAGGCTCACTGGTCTATAATTATTCGTGGAGGGACGATCGCCGTTTAGTATAGGACTCGCAAGCCATTTTCCAGTCACTGGGGACCTTTTGTTCATCCAGGCATTTATAGAACAGGATCTTCGGGGGCTCGGCAAGCTCGTTGCTCAACTCGTAGCACTCTGGGATACACCAGGGCCGGGACACTATGATCCTTTAGCTTTGACAATTTATTTATTCATAACTATCTGAGAACATAATGTGGGCCAGCGCTGTGTCGAACCCGTCTGTCCTCAAACACAAGAAGATTGTTCACATCCTCTCGTGAACACCGAAGAAAAGCAGCTGTTCAACGCTCCACCTTGTCCTGGTTAGAATATGCTTAACTACCATCTTCAAGCCTCAGGTCCGATACACCTACTCGCGTTTTTAATTTCGACTTTGCCTAGCGGTAAAACGCCTTAGGTTTTGACTTGACCTCGCTCACAATCCGCCCCTGAAACTTTATTTTTTTCAGCCCTTCTACACTCTTGACTTTGCTTGGTTCCTGGATCTGGTACACATCTTCTGTCCTGCTCATAATCTGTCCCAACCTACGTCTCTAATTTCTGATTTTTTTCTTAACTTTTTCGATCGCTGCATGGTATTCCTGGAGGCACTGGGATTGGTCTTGGGTATATATTTATCGATAAATGGTTCAATATACTGGCTATGATGTTCAGCGTAGTGTCTGCTTTCTTATATATAAGTGGAGGCCGTTTTACACAAGATGGGATGCTAGCTACTTTAATTTCCTTAGTCAATAAGTTAGGTCGGTGTAGTATTTGTAATATATTGTCCTCTTATAGATAGTAAGTAGTATTGTATACCTACATTATGTAAGTTAGGTATTTGTAATATTTGTGAATATTTTTTTTATCTTGTTGGGTTAAGGCAGGATGTGGGTGCAACCAGCTATGGTGATGACGGCGATGCCACGTGAGGAGTCTGAACCTGAGGATCCGGGGCCCACGTTTTGTAACCAGTTTATTCGCTTACTCCTAGTTATTATCAACTTAATAGCATTGGTGAGTCTTGTAGTGTACCCAGTAAACATTTGTTGTACCTTACCTAGTAAATATTCACTTGTCTCGCCTGTTTTGTATGAAATAGTTGTTTACTTGAGCGAGACAGTTAAGCTAATATTTTGGGCGCTTGTGCAGTTTAACCAGTGAATTGAAATTATTTTTCTATTGTAGCCAACTAATTCTTACAAAGAAAATCACCAGAAATGGGGTGTAATTACTATTTTCATATATTTTTCTGTAGTTATAGATGATAGACGCTCTATCCAAATACAACAGATGCCATTTGTGGAACTTGATATGTCGACAAATGTTTCCCAAAGAACGACCGAACGCTTCCCAAGGATCTTTCCATATATTGCTTTACCCAGCCTACTTAATACGTACTATGGTGGACAACGGTTCTTTCCCTCAGCCAGCCACATATACTACCCATTTTGGGGTCACTAATCATAAGGCGATAACTTAAATCTACTCTTTATTTTAAGGTCACTGCAACCAGACCCCCTGGACAGTATGTAGCTTGTTAAGGTAGCTGGCAGAGTAAGCCAGGGATTGGGTTGGGTTTTTCATTGACCAAATTGAGAGTGGGAGGAAGGGTGAAACCTCAATCATAACTTAACTAATTTATTTCTTAACCAAAACATATTGCATCCCGTCACAATACAAAAATAGTTGGCCTTCATCAAAATTACTACTATGTTCATTAGTCATACACGTCCTTCATCAAATAACTACTGTTATCTTCATTCTTCGTAAAAACCATTGACCTCCTTACCTCGGTCATTCCTTCTTACCGTAACACCCAACACATCAGACTGCACCACCTGTTAGATTATAGAATCATGTTATGGCACCACATCTCGGGTACACCTCACACCTACAAGTATGGAACTCCTCGGTAATTCTTCAGGTACACATACCAGGTACCTCGCTCACACTCTACTCTTGCTAAGTAGATAGGATACTTCCCAGGTAATCATACCAGTACTGGTTCCATGCCTGGTATCCTTAGGTCGCTCCACGTGGCGACGGAAAAGCTTCTCAAACACAATCATGTTCTCCTATCCTGGGTGTTGATATGTAGGGTCTTCACAGTGGAGGTTGCATAACGGCCATAAGCAGTACACACCACACCCGGTGGGTTCCTCACAGTGGAGCAGTAGTGGTTGTTAGGCCTACGCTCTGGGTGTACACTTGTTTTGGTGAGAAGTCGGGCGTCACTGAGAATAATGACTGAGGGGCTATTATCACCACACTATTACAACTCTATTACTTCACTTTATAACATTAGACAAGGTTTTAAGATGTAAAACTGCTAGACAAGTCTCTTGAGTGCTGATGAAGCACGATGGAGTTCACTGACCTGTTTTGGTGAGAAGCCGGGCATCACTGAGGGCGATGCCTGGCGTCTCACACTGAACTAGGCCTACAGTTTCCAATCCTTAATTTTCACTGACATTATTCTGGTTCTCACATATACACTTTCCTATCTATTCTGATCTTATTCCTTATAATTATATATCTTAATCCTAAATTACTTACTAAAGTATGGGTCTGGTTTGCTACGGGTTTGCTACATAAAGGGTATCGTTAAAGTCCTGGTGCATTTAAAATATTAGTAACGCAGGTTCTATAGGAGACAAAAACAATCTGTATTATGAATTGGATAGATAATTAAATTTTCTTGTGACAAGAAATTTCTTCTAATCTTTTTTTTTGTTTTTCCAGTTAATCTGCCCCAACACTACTGAATGGCTTTAATAGAAGAATTAATTATTGTCCTCCTCTGGTTCGCCGAGTTAGTCTGTAACAACGGTTAGAAACATTGCTTCATCACTAAACATTAAATTGTCAAGAAATGAGACGTTATTTTCAACTTCATTAAAATTGTGACAAAGCCAATTTTCCAACAACATTTGATGGACTTAACTGAATCTTGCAGGTCTCTTATGCATTTTCACTGATAATTTTGTTGTGTTTTAGCTACATCTAGTTCCAGAGGAGCCCGGTTTAGTCATTTCCGTGGACTAAGAGTATTTTGATAAGCTTGCTCTACAGTCTCGTTTACTCCATACTCCCAGTTCATGGCTTGTCAATAACGGAACCAGTCTCTTTAAACTGAGTTTGTGCGGTGCTTCCTTCTTGTAGCGAGTCGTAAATTTTATTCTAACCGCTGTTACAGACTTTAACTCGGCTAATCAGAGGACACGATTCACCTTCTCTTATATTGAAACTATTCAGTATGGTGTTGGGGCAGATTATCTCGAAAAACAGAAGGAAAAAATTTAGAATAAATAATTTTCTTTGGTCTTAAAAACATGAATGAATTATCTCCAATGCATTTTGCAGATAGTTTATATCTCGTATAGAACCTTAAGTTATAAAATTTTTTAACTGCACCAGAACTTGATACTTTTTAAGACCGTAATTTTTACGTGACACCTAGGGTGTGACAGGTTATATGCGTCAGTGAGCCATGAACTCATCCTGCTGAGTATGCAGTAGGTAATAATTGTGACAAACCTATGTAACCTAATAACGTTCATGACAGATGGGCAGTTTATGCATCTTGGTGCTGGGCACCATGATCATGATGAACCACCCCTACCTGGCACAAATGATGGGCCAAGATATGTTCTCGATGGCGGCGAAAATCATGATGGCTTCCGGCAGCTTCATCTTCGTAGTTTCCTTCCTCGGGTGTTGTGGTGCACTCAAGGAAATAAAGTTCATGTTGATGTTGGTAAGGCATTTTCTTAATCATTCATGATGTTGCAGTATAACAAACATTTTGACCTTTGTGATGTGTTACTGTATAGTGAATACATTTTATCCTTTTTGGGGGTACTACGGTTAAGACGGGTGTGCAGGTAGAGATTACAAGGCTTTATCCTAAGGATTGCTAGTTCACGACCAGGGATTCCAATGGGTAGATGGCTTAAATCAGAATTTATGTGATGACGGTAAAAATTGATATTTAAAGTTTATTCAGGCAGAAGAATATAGTGGATAATAGTACTATTGACATAGCTGAGCCAATTGAGAGCCTGAGCTCTAGGGTGCCTATTACCCCGAAGAAGTCTTGTTCGATGAGGGTTAAAGAATGAGAGAAAAGCGCGGCGCTCTTCAAGGGTAGCCCGTGCGTCCTCTGATTAGTTATTTCAATTTTCAATTTCAATTGTGTATTCCTTGATAGAGGAAGCGGGATCCTAGTGCTGTCACTAGGTACCCCTATACAATAACACCAGAAGCATCTGGCAAGTGTGACAAGTATATACAGTATAAATATTATAAAGGGGCTTACTAAAGCCTAAGGAAGGAAGGAAGGAAGGATATTCCTTTAACACATAATCAATGTTATTTACATAATATCTGGCCAGTATGGGGAGGATCATCGTGTCTCCGTCAGGGGGTCGTGGAGTGGTGGTCTAGTAGGCGTCACGGAAGCGTTGTGTGTGGGGACATCTTAGGAGGTAGTGGATAAGGGTGCTGCTGTCGGGTCTTCTGCATAATGCACAAGAGCGTTGCTCAGGGGATGCGGGGATACCAATCTCCCAAGCGAAGTCATACCCAATGATGATACGGGCAGCAATCACGTCCCCTTTCCGCGACCCTTTCCCGTAGACGTACGAGAGGTCAGGAAGTTTACGGAGGACATCGTACCAGGTGGGCGGGGAGTCCAGGGGGATGGCTGCTTCTCGAGCTTCTCTCTGTTTGCGGCGAATTTGGGTCCTAATCTGTAAAAGTGTTCGAGGAACAACGTAGTCAGGAGTGGCCTTGTTGCAGCCAGTCTTGGCAAGGCCATCTGCTGCCTCATTCCCCAATTGATACCGACATGACTGGGTATCCATAGGAATGTCACAGGACGGCCTGCATCCAGAAGTGTTGATGTTAACCCTTGATTAGTTATCAATACGATTTTTACCCCGGGTAAACCCCGCCATCTAGTGCCCGAGCACAGTACTAAAATATAAATCGTTTCAGGAGTAACTGCTTTAAAACTCGCGATCATATTCCTCGCCTATACCTCTATACTGCCTTCAGTCGGAGACTTTTCATTTATTATAATACTCAATTAGTTAATGTTCTTAGAATAGTTCAATTCATTATGTACTATACAATATGGTATGCTGGAAATCAATCAATACAGGCAATGCAAGCTCACGTAAATGACTTGCATATGTAGGTATTGTAGTGTTACTTTACCCCCATATACTATACATAGATAAGGGACTTGTTTACATGGGGCAACATTTCGTATGGTTGTTTTCAGTTATTATTACTAATGGCTCCTTTGTGTTCACAATCATTCAAAGTACATAAACTGAAAATATTGTCCCCATTATAGTTTGCTTGCACTACAAAACCATCCCCCCAAAAGTATGGGGGAATACATTATAATGGAATTTAAATTAAAGGAAGGCTGAATGTTGATCATATATCGAAATATTTATACATTCAATTATTTAACCCTATAAACATTTCATTCATGGCTAGCTTATCTTTAGTTCCTGTTTACTAAAAACAAAATAGAATTCCAATATTTACCTCGAAAAGTTCTCATGGATATGCCATATGAGAAACACGATGGTGTGTGAGAAGAGTTCTAAAATAAATGGTAGAGTAATCAAACGCGAAATACGGCCTTTATTTTCCACACACAGTATTTCATCTTCGTGGCGCTGTTATTTATGATTCTATTGGCCGGGGGCGTCATCGGATTGATTTTCATGAGCAAGGCGAAAGCCAGAGTGATCTCCGTCATGGAGGATGCTCTCAGGGATTACGAACCAGACTCCACAAACTCCAGCTTCACCTTAGCCTTGGACCTGTTGCAACATAAGGTACGTCCCTACATGTGTTTTACTTAATTTCTAGATGTAATATTGTGTGTTGAAATGAGGACGATAATCAGGTAGGTAGGAGCCTTTCAGAGCCAGTATCCGAATTACCGCCCCGTCACATGCCAGATATGTTAGGTGAAGGTAAAAGCTGTAATTTCACCTCTGTTCAAATGAGAGAGAGAGAGAGAGAGAGAGAGAGAGAGAGAGAGAGACTCTACTTATCAAAACCCCTATACCCCCAAAAGCCCTATGGAGACGGGAGCAGGCAGAGATGACTGCCGTGAGTCTCTAGTCACGACTCTGCATATGGGCGGCACAGATAAGATGGTCGTTTATGCACTGGGATCTAGGCAGTAGTGCAATCTGACCGTTTGTGCGACTGAGCAGCCCTTTCGAGGAGCCACTCTGCTCACCCCACATGGGGAGAGGGCTAGAAAAGGTGCCCTAAACATAGCCTGCCTAAAAACCAACCTGACTGGGCAACCGTACCCAGTAAGGTTATCCTTGTGCGGTCGAAAACAAAAACAAACTATACAACCTCTTATGGTCAATGCATCGAATGTTGGAACCCTTCTGTATACTGGCACAAATCACCATCCTGTAAGAACTGCCCTTTTGGCAAGAGTTGGCTAGGTATAACTTCGACACAGCAGCCATTAGCTAGTCCCGGCTCCCAGACGAAAGTCAACTTGCAGTACAGGGGTCTCGCTATACCTTCTTCTGGAAGGGTAATCCTGCTGCAGAGAAACCACATTTATGGACTAGGCTTTGCCATCCGCCAACGCATCCTACACAGGCTAACTGAAATGCCTATTGTGATCAACGAGCGCCTCATGACGCTCAGTCCCACAGAATCACTCGTCATGCATTTTTCATCAGTGCATACGCCCCAACACTGGATGCAGAGGATGATAATCAAGGAAGCCTTTTACGCTGACCTCGACAGTGCTAACCCATATCCCCCAGAGAAGATGAGGTTGTGCTCCTTGGTGAATTCATTGCCAGAGTTGGCAGAGATGCTGACATTTGGCAGGGAATCATAGGAAGAAATGGACTGAACACGACCTCACTATCACCAATACCTTGTTTAGGCGAGGTGGGTGGAGGACTGCAGGTGGCAGTAGGTGGTGATGATGAGGATGGTGCAGTAGTCCACTTCCAAACTGCTAGTGCATGGTGGTGGAGATCACTGAGGGATGGTATTTCCAGGGTTGAAAGAGCTTTGTTGTAGCCGGATTAGTCTGTGCCGAGCATGATTCTGAAGGCCCTCTAATGTACCTTCTCTAGCTGACGTTGTTGAGAGAAGATGACGAGGCTGGTGACACATACGTTAATTTTGGGATAATAAATGCATTGTAGATAGTCCTACGCTCTGGCGTGGGTGCCCCAGGTGACCCGAGTCGTCGTAGCATGTAGAGTCGGTCCGAGGCTGCCTTGATTGTGTTGTTTACATGGGCCTTCGTCCAGTTTGTGGTCTATCGTTACACCCAGGTGTTTGGCAAATTGCATTAACTGGAGAGGATGGGCACCCACTGTAACTGCTGGAGCTTGCACTGGAGTGGTGGTGGTATTGATGTGCATGACTATGGTTTTGGTGTGATTGATGGTGACCTTGTGCTCCGTAGTCGATGCCTGTAGCCTGTCCAGGGTGTTTTGTAGCGATGAGTAGTCCGGTGAGGTGTTGTCCACTGTAACCTCCATAGTGCAGTCATCCACGTACTTCCACCTGTGAGGAGTGTCCGATAGAGCGTCGTTGATCAGGATGAGGAAGCACAGTGGTCCCATCTTGGTCCCCTGGGGAACACCGCAGGTGAGGTGTTGGAATGTGGAGACACAACCCTGGTACCTGACTGCCTGACGACGTTCACTCAAGAAATCAGTGAGCCATGAGACCAGGTTGGTGGGCAGCCCTTGTGCAAAGGCCTTGTTGATAACAGTGCAGTGATAAACAAGGTCAAAAGCCTTTCTGAAGTCAACAAGGGCAATGGCTAGTGATGTCTTACGTTTCTCCAGGTAGGTAGGTAGGTATGTATGTATGTATGTATGTATGTATGTATGTAAAATAATGTATATAATTTTTTTTCAGATGCAATGTTGTGGCATTGAAGGTCAACATGATTGGGAAAAATTCGCCTCTGAATTTAATGAAACTGGCTATAAAATTCCAAAGTCTTGCTGTAAGGATATAACCTCGTATAGTTTGGTGAGTACAGTACCAACCTAGCTGTTACTTTCCTTCAGGTACCGAATGGATATCATGACCTGTATTCCTATGACTTTTCTAATTTTTTCCTCCCAATTAAAGAGAAGTTAATCTACAAAGCATTAGATTTCTGAATCTTCAGGATGTGTAGGTCAGTGACGCAGTAGAGACTGAGATAGAGGCAGACCTGCATTCCAAGACAGACCGTAAAAATAGACCAATCACAATAATATACCGACACGACAGCGTAGTTATAGGTCAGGTTAGGGCCAGTTCTTGGGTAGATGCTGAGGTGCTTATCACCCAGACTCGCCAGCAGAGATTTCCCCGGAGCTCAGGATAATGTTAAAAATGGCATTGTGCAATAAAGCAAATTGCATTGGAAATTCACTATACTGTATTGCAATACTCGGTGCATAATATAAAACACTGCTCAAGAACATTAAAGAACATAGGAAATCTCTAACACTGTTTTGTGGTCAACCTGTCCCAACTCGGGTAGCGGGTAAGCGGTCGAGGCCTTTGTTACTTTTCTATGGTCATCGTTCAGTGTTCGTATCGTTGGAAGCAGAGTACTCGGATTACATAAGCCCGGGAGGCTGAACTAGTGCAGAGGCAAGCACGCCGACTTCCGCCTCTGGTAAAGGCAAGGCTTCGAAGAAGACTGTGTCAGGAGACGAAAGTTATGCATTGTTAAGCTGTAGGCTTATTATCGTGGCGACTATTGAATTATTTTGTTTTTATTTAATAGGTGGATCTTTTTTTTGTTACACGTGTGTTGGACAGGCCAAGAATGTATCTTATTGAGACCATGTTGAAATGATCCCTGTTTACATTAATTCGGTTAGCGTTTTCAGGGATGCAACCCTATCATAAATAGAGGGACACCTGTATTGTTTGAGTTTTGGGGGTTGCAATTACCAAGTGACAGTTAGCAACTACTGTTCACACTGGTCAAAAACTAAACTAATTTTAAGAGATTTTTTTTTACGCCAAACAAAATTTTTTAATTATTTATTTACTTAAAAACTTGCATTTTGAGATTCTAAAGGCAAAGAAACACTTGCAACCCTTTAAAGATTTTTGGCGTATTAGACAATCTCACGAAGAATTAAAAATCTTAATACAGTACACATACTGAAAGTGGCTGTAGTGATATTTAGGGGAAAACATGAAATGTGTACAGTCGGCAAAAAAAAATTTCTGCGTCCCTTGGTCTGATGGCCTCTGCAACGATCACTGACTGAGCCATGTTAATTTTGTAAGGTTGGTAATTCTGGTTGTGTGATGCATTGTATAACCAGTATGGTGTATTTCTTATGCCACGTGTAGTTAATACAGAGAAATTAACAGGAATCACCCGCGTAAATGAGTGCTGTTCAGAATTCTTGGTCCGGTGTCATATTGTATAACACCATAAAGGTGCACAATATATTTTTTGACTACATATAAATGCCTTGTATACCGGTATACAGTAGGTAATGGTAAGTTCAGGTTAGGTAATAATCTGCCACCTTGGATGAAAAATAAAATTAAATTCAGCATAGCTAAAGAGAAATGATACAAGTTATTAATTAATACTGGCATAGCACTGTACAAAGCAAGCAGAAAAAGAACCAAAAAAAATTAATGAATTCCCATACATTACATACAAACAAATTCAGTGAACATCATACATAACAAGCTGCAAAATAGTTACCAATTCCTGCTCCATTGTCTGCTTCCTCTATCCTCGTATTTCTTCTGACGGTGGTAACCAACTTTTTACTTTCTGTACCAATGTTTATGTTGCATTTGAACCGTGTGGTATTGTAAAAATTAAGACTAGAAAAATTAAAATTGGATAATTAGCAGAAGGGCATTGCAATTAACGTCTTGGTGTTCTCGTAGTAGAGCGCTATGCCATTGATTAAAAATTAAGATGTGAAACCACTTTACTGTGTTGTCTTGTGGTCTACTGTATGTCGCTTGGTGTATTTTGCTGTTTTGCTAGTCAGTGCAAATGGCGGTGTATGTTAAAATTTCCTACTTCATTCAACTAATATTTTTTTACTTTTTTTTCTCTAAATTTTTTTATTAGACTTGCGGGGGTCCCTTCTGGCGTAGGGCCTGGGTCATGCCCCCCCCCCCCCTTCCTCCCTAATTACAACGCAAAATTAATCAATTGGCTGTTTACCAATAATACCTGTGATAATCTTAAGTTGATAATATTTTGTTGTTTTCAGGTGGAGGAATGCCAGCAAAACCCAAATGAGGAGAACTCACACATTGAAGGCTGTTTTTCGAAAGCTATTAGTTTTGTCACGAAACACTCACGCATCATAGGGAGCGTTGGTGTCAGTATCGCAATGATCTTGGTAAGTAAGACTTTTTTTATATAATTCTGAGGGTCACACAACAAGTCGCAGGTACTTTAACGGACAGTGTTCGGTGGATTTGGTATCCTGTGTCGCACTAGATTAACCCGTTATAGTACATCCTTCTTTCTTCACACAGCCAAACTTAGGAATGCTCTGCCTTCTTCCGTTTTTCCACACTCATATAATCTATCTCACTTCAAAAAGCTTGGTTTCCGGCATCTTTTTGTGTATATTAATGTAATCTTTAATTTTTTTTTTACCTGTGTCTGGGTGGGCTATTCCCCGTAAAAAAAAACGCGGGCTGAGTTCTGACGAGGCTTTATGAATTGAGATGCGTAGTTCAGCAATTTTTTTTTTTTTGGGGGATAATTCATGTGAGAAACCGTCTTGCCTGCATGAAAAGGACTGGTTGCAGAAACTAGCAACCTTGTCAAATATTTTTTCGGCTTTGAACGAATTTAATTTGTCACCAATGCCAGTGTTCAACACAAGACAAGGTTGAAGCAATGATTAAAGAACTGACATTCTGGTCAAGCTGCGTGAATGTAAATTCCCTTCACTGCTTTTCAACGCTACAAGACAATTGAAATCCATGAATGTCCTAGATTCGCATGTGAAAGGCTTAATAACAACACTTCAAGCAACTGAGCTAGCAGCTAGGAAGTTACCATGTCATCAGGGACACGTCTCCGAAGTGGATACGCAATCCATTTGTAGTCCCCCCCAGTCCCACATCTGTCATATCACGAACAGGAGCAACTGCTGGAGTTATCGTCCGATGAAGGACTACAAATACAATTCGTGCAAAAACCACTTGTGGATTTCTGGGCAGGAGTCACGGAAGAGTATCCATCGAGAGCCTCGAGTGTATTGATGCCCTTTGCTACTACGTACTTGTGTGAGGTCGGTTTTTCTGCGCTGGCAGCAGTGAAGACGAAGTATCGTCAGAGGTCAGATGCTGAGAAAGACTTAGTGAAACTGGGCTCAATTGCTCCCAGCTTCACTAACCTTTGTGCTGAAATGCAGGCACATTCTTCACATGAATAGGTAAGTAGCAATATACCAATATTCATGTTCCGAAGACGTCATAACATTGGTTGTTTGAAATGTTCATTTATAGTGCAGTGTTTATATAATTGTTACAATGACAAGTGATAGGGGTGTGCTAACTCTGTCCAAGTTTGGAGTGGGGTGCGTGATACAGGGAAAGTGCAGATAATAACGTTGTGACTTGTTCGTGGCCTTCATTGACCTTACTAAGGCTGTCCAACAAAATTCATCGCCATTGTGAGGCAACTCCACGATGGCATGACGGCTTAGCAAATATCAGGGACTTGACGGGGTATTGCGAACTATTTTTTTTGTAGATCAATATCCTTAAATTTGACCCTTCCCTTCACGGTACATCATTTACTGACGTTTTTTATACACCATCCTTTTTTTATATAGCTTTTTTCTTCTAAATTCTGCATTTGAATAAGCAAATAACATACAACACAGTATATTGAACTTTAAGAATACCTCCATAATAAAGGAAACGCTTTTTAATATTTACTTAAAAGGATTTATTTAAATATTACTGCATTACACAATAACATCACAATATTTAACAGGAAACTAAATTTCTTCATTGTATTTCAGATTTTTGGACTCTTCTCGTCTCTTGCTCTGGTCAAGATGATCGACTCTAGATACGACTCGGTCTAAAATATTGACTCCATTTGTTTCTGCTCCAATAGTACACAGTACTTATTTTAACGAATAGTTAAAAAAAACATTAAATGGAGTGAGAAAATAATTCGGGTTGACATTTTTTCCTGGTGGATATATTCAACAGCACTTGGAGAAGTTTTGCACTGGATTCAGGCTGAGGAAGACTTGAGAACGAAGCATCTAGTTATTCAGATTTTATTGTATGCTTTTTATTATTTTAAAATTTTATTGTGAAAAGGAGCGTTTTACATGTAAATAACTACCAGATAGTCCAGGCCATATGGCGTAAAGTGTACTTTTGCAAACTAATATCTGGTTTTCATTTGTAAATTTTAGTAACCTTGTTCCTTTCCGATTCTCATTGAACTTGTGAGTGTTTTTCATCTACACAGTTGTACAGTTTTGAATGTTTAAGGAAATAAATTAGAATCAACAGTTTGACTTATCAGTCCAGAACATTATTTTTTAAATAAAACTGAAGACTTCCACATTAAAAATGTTTTAATGGTTATTTAAAAAAATTCTACAACGAAAAGCGAGTCGGGATCATTGCCGTCATTGTTAGAGGGCATGACTGTCCAAATTTATTTATAATAGTCATGTTGTAGTACTTCAGTGAACAACACTAATAATTATTTATGGCTGGATTTTATTTATTATTATTTACAATAGTTGAAAAGTGCCTAGTATATTTCCCTCCCCATGACCTGTATTGTACTACCAGGTGGGTATTAGTATTTGTATAATGATTGTCCTCACATTGGGGATATTTAACTGCCCATCATATGCTTCGATAACTAATCATTGGCTTGGTGCTGCAGTCATGTTCTTTGTCTCAAGCTATTGTGTAGTGTTTTCTTTTATAATTAAAAATTTTCTCCAATACGGTTTTTTTTATCTAAATCATCCATTGCTTTTCTATGAAAGATAAGTCCATTGTAAACATACTGTAGGAATAGATCGAGTGTTGTGCCCTCTGGCTTATCTGTCCACATTATAAAAGAGCAGGTGCATACTTCAGCGTAAGCAATAAATGTAAGTATCTGTTTCATCAAAGTATTTTCATAGTTTAATGCACCTTATGCATTATAGATAAGTATTGGGTCAGTTATTAAATAAACAGCTCCTGACAGGCTTTTACCAGTACTCTACAGTAGTTAATAATTTAGTTTTTTATGAAATGTTATAAATAAAATTTTAAGTCCTCGTACTAAAGTTTGCCACCATGCTCAAGTGGTTGTCATTGTACTGTACTCGAGACTAAAATTAATAGGTAGCAATTATAACTTTCCTTAATATTAAAGCATAATATTTAATGAAAGGATTAAAATTTATGAAAATATCGCATGAAAGTCAAATGACAGAGCAAAAGTCCAGAGTCTAGATTGTCTCCAATGAAAATTCCTCGTAATTTGAGGAATTATACAGGCCCGGGTTCGCGTTGAAGGCTCTATATCTCTTGTTCAAGAAATGAACCTCGGCATCCCTCAAGGTGGAGTCCTGAGTCCTACGTTGTTTAACACTCATGCACTTCATTGCATCTCTCCCGTGGCCGACAGAAGTTGACCACTCGGGATATGCCGACGATGTCCTCCAAGCCCCTGACTACCTCAGCATGCAGGAAGCCATTGATCTGGTTTCCAGAGTGTGAGTCACTTGGTTTCCTTCTTTCAGCTGCGAAAACAAAAGCCATGTGGCACGGTCGTGTTGTACCTCCCTTCTCTTATCAGGGAAGCCCCTGGACTGGGTTAATGAGAAAAAATACCTGGGTGAGTATGTAACTCTCACACGTTGTCAGATCCCTGGAGTCCGCTATCTTCGAGACATGCTTTCGGCGTCTCGCTCCACACACTACCATGTGCAAGGGTTCCCTTGGTGCCACCATCTCTGTACTTATCACCATGTACAAGTCATTTGTCCATTCCTGTGTTGATTACGCCGTCCCTGCCCTCGTCAACATTAGTCGGACTGCTGTCGACCGTCTCGAAGTTATCCAGAGGAAAGCTGCTCGTATCATCCTTGGGGCTCTTCAGTGGACACGCTCTACTTCTCTATATACCAAACTTGGTTTTTCTCCCTTACAGGATTGTGTCCAGGAGTTTTAGCTAAAAACTACCGTTTCCATTCTACTGGATCCTCGGGGCAACTATGTCCAAGCTGTCCGAGGCCGACCTCCATCCAGAAGACAGTGGCGAGGGTCACTCATCCGAGCCCTTCAGGAACACGACCTCCTGCCTGATATTGTCACCCCTGCTGTTGGTTAGTCTCCTCCCTGGCTGGATTTTCAACCTGAAGTGATTGCCCTCGGTGGACCGCTCCCGAAATCCCACGTAAACCCTGTTATTCTCTGCAAATCCCACCTCTCCAGGATCACCCACTGGTCCCCAGGTAGGGTCGTCCTCTACACTGATGGTTCTGTTGACCCCGCTACAGGTCGGGCCGGGGCTGGTGTCTACATCTCCCGTCCTGATGCCCCTGAGCCTATCAAACTGTCTCAAGAGTTTCTCACGGGGCATCCTCCATTCAGGCGGAACTAATAGCCCTCCTTGCTGCCCTTCTCGCCGAGGAAGAAGCCGATGGTTTCTGCCCCCTGCTTGTCTGCTGCGATTCCAGGTCTGCTCTCGACGGGATCTCATTGGATCAGGGGGGAAATAAGGATCTCATTCTCCGAATACGAGGGTTAACATCCACACTTCAGGATGCAGGCCGTCCTGTGACATTCCTATGGATACCCAGTCATGTCGATATCTTGGGGAATGAGACAGCAGATGGCCTTGTCAAGACTGGCTGTAACAAGGCCACACCTGACTACGTTGTTCCTCGACCACTTTTACTGTGGATGGGACAGAGTCGGAAAAGGGCTGGTATCCTCCCATGTGTGTGTCCCCTCTGTCCTGGAACCCACCACCTAACTGGATGTTTCAAGTTTCTGGCTCAGACTTTACCGACAAGAATCGAAACGGTAAAGCTTCATCTTTCTAAAGGGTTCACACATGGTCGTGGAGTATAGAACGGGTTTCCAATGTAACTTTGACGGATGTTGCATTTTAGCGACACGTCAAAACAGTTACTCGCAGACTTTAATCGGGGAAGTGCTAGGCAAGACACTCATGGGGTACAAGCGTAAAAGGCACGAGGACGATAGCCAAATAAATGCACGCTTGGAAGAATCTATTGGGAGAGCATACCTTACGAACACCGACCGATCTCGTGGTATAAAGCGGGAGCCATACGGTGATGCAAAAGACATACGCTAATCTCGATCACAACATTACCAGGGTGGTGAGGTCCCTGTAAAGATGCAACAAAATGACTGCGTAACGTGTCTGCCGACCGCTGCAGAAATAAATACATCAGGGAGGAAAAGAAACCTTACTTATGAAAACCAATTGCAAAACGGGCAAGTAAAACCTCACCATTCCGGCTAACCATGGAGGCACACTCGCTGCAATTAAGATAAAATATCCTTGTTTTATTGTATTGGTAAAATTTTAAATTAAACTTTCTAATCCTAATTTAATATTGTCTTCAGTGCTAATCTACAGGAGCAATTTAGTTGGGTTAGTCATTTTGACCATAAATTTCAGGTAGCAAAAAATATCCTTACAGTCTAACAGAGATGTAGGGCTGCAATTCAACATCATTCGATACGAGTATACTTGTACAGAAAAAAAGGTTAGCAACACGGATACATCACAATAGTAGACCTTTTGTCATTTGCTTATACCAGGGTATTCCATTGAATCAATGCATAGACTATTCTCGGTTAATAATTATTTCGAATTTGTTAGTGGTGAAATTATTTAGAACTCCGGTATAAATCAATATTTTTATTTTTTTTGACATTATATGTCTTTGATCTCGCTCAACAGTAAACCTGACGTGTCTCCAGTTAAGAACATTCAGCTGTAATCAAGAGTAATGAATACACTGTACCGAGTGTGGCAGAAGAAATATCTTTGTTCATCATAAGATCAAGATAATTAGGTAATAAACTGCTGTTGTGCTGTCGCCAGTGACTACACAAAGTTTTATAATATTTTCCGCTTATAAAGGTTTCTACTGAGTGGGTCATGTTTGCCAACAGTAGTTACTTTGTTAATATTACTCATTACGGAAAAGTTGAATTTCTTGAGATCAAACAAAAATAACTATTATAAGGCTCTTAACTATATATAATAAAAAACAAACTTAAATATACAAACATTTATTGGAGTATACAGAGTGCATGTAATATTGCATCATTTAATTATACAAACAACGGAAATTGGATTTAGTGGTCCCGGATTCTAAAACCATTCTGAAGGTCCTACTGATACATTAAAATACAAAAGGTAAGAAATATTTGTCATGTAAAATACAGACGTTATTGGTACAGTACAATAATGCTTGTGATCACATAACGTCTACATCATTCTTCTTCTATAGTGAATGAAGACTTGAGAGTTGCCACATCATCCAGGTTTCCAAATCTCCCATGCTATCCAGTCAAATTTCAGAGATGGTATGATATTAACTTTCAGTGGCCTGTAGAGACCAAACCTTATTAGTGACCATTAAACTAAAGACGAATTTAATGCGACCAAAGTCAAGGGAACTTACTGACGAGATATTAAACTCATTTGGATGTCTTAGTACACGTCACCTTACATTACTAACTTTTCTCATAAAAATAATCTTAACATTTATCTGTGACAAACGGATGATTCTGTAACCTTGACACTTAAAGGAAGAGATAGGTGAATAAATAAAAGAGAGAGAGAGAGATAAGATGCCCAGAAGGTAGTGCCAAGGAATACAAGTAAGGAGGGAATGAAACATTTGGAAGAGCCAACGCTTGAAAGCAGCGGACATCATGTGGAATGAATATTGCAGGTCCTGTGCTAACCTTCCAACCTTTATTCGTTTGGGATACTAAACTGATGCCAAAATGATAAGTACAAATTCTGTATAAAATTTACAAAGACTAAGGAATTATAATATGCAATATATAAATTACGTACAAATATAGATTATGATTGTGCTCACTCACACACGTGCATAAATACGATAAATTTTGTTATACATACACATTCATACATACCTACTAACATATACACACAACATACACACTTTCTTGAAAATATATTTAACATTGTCTGTCATTAACACAATCAGCGTAATGTAAACCCTTACAGTTTCTTCAGAAGCTGATGATAAGCCAACAGTAGCTTCAAAGGAAACTAATTTGAGGCGGTATATGGCAACACATTAATATCATCATGATGTATGTGGGACAGCCGCTACATATTTAGAACAATAAAAACATTATTTTAGTTGGTTAGGATAATGTAGTCTAAATTAATAAATACCGAGCCTCTGTAACCATCAAAAGTACTTCTCATGTGCTTTACAATTTGGTTTGTGGCTATATAGTATGATTAGTGGCTTTACAATGATAAAAAATGCGAGTATTTAATGATATAAGTAAGTTTACTGTTATCTGTTGTAAAGAAGACCACTGATGCAATACTATAACCAAGAACTGGTAGTAATGTTTTATTTTCTACCCATAGTGTTGAACGTTAATATTTGTGTCTACGGTTATAATCTCAGGTGTTAATTTCTTAGATGAAATAATGCGAGTCCAATTTGTTTACTCCATTTCATGGCTTACTGTACCAGATTATTCCTTACATTTATGTCTATGTCCAAAGAGAGCCACCAGACTGGTACCTGCCACTTCGGTACCTCGGTTATCCAGAGAGATTAGAGCGCCTGCAACTGCCAAGCTTATATTACAGTCGGGCAAGAGGTGACCTAATTGAGGTGTATTAACATCTCAAAGGGCACTACTCAGTCGAGT